GCTGGTCACTTAAGCCTACTTTAAAGGACACGAACCCAAGCGAATTGAGGTCCTTTCCCTTTGAAACTAGTTTCACAACCTTTGGTTGCACATTGGTCAAGTCGAGACACTCAGTAACAAGTCCCGCAATCTGGCTCTCTGAGGTTGTTGGATGGAAAGCGGACAAGTAGATCCAGAATAGATCGTCGTAGGGGCGGCCATCCAGACGGACAGTTTTGATCGTGTTGATTGCCTTCGAACCCAAGTTAATCGGGACACTGGGAGTATCGACAATTTTCCCGTCGGTACCTCTGCGGCGCTTTGGTGTATTTGCCAGAGGGTTGATACGCTTCACATTTTCATACGTGCTATTTTTTCCTTTTTCCAATCAAGTTAAATATTTTTGGTTCATCTTCTGAATTAGAATACCTTTTGCCGCTACTTTTTCACCAGTTATAGGCAGAAAACTGTGGAACTTCTGTGTGCCAGATATTGTCTGTGCTGTTATATAGTTCTTCGATGTACTGTTCAGTAGATATGTACTCGAAACGTAGTTTTGTGATATTTTTATCTGTTTGTTCAACTGCCCAGTTATGTAATTCTCGAGGAGTTGTTATGGCGTTTCCATAATCTCGAGCAAGACTAGCTCTCTTTGCCATTCACTTGAAAGTGTCACCAATGGCATCACAGGGACCTTTTACATGACACGTTGCAAAAAAAATGCCATTCTGATTCTAATCCATGCTCTGACTGAAATCTACACAGACAAGCAAAGTTTTTTTTTTATTTTCGTATTGTGATGCTGCGCCATCTGACATAAAAGTAATTTTCGAAAAATCTATCGATTGTTGAATAAAATCTATCATTTTTGAGATGAACAACTGAACTGCATCTGTATCGTGAGTCATTACTTCTGATATGATAATGAAGCTAACATTTTCAAGTTTCTTGTCTTTCTTATAATAAACTTCAAATGGATGTATTGTTGCTTGAGAATTATTCCAGTGATATCCTGATAATTTTCAGAATAATCACAAATTGCTAGAATTTCGCCTTCTTTTAATGATTATTTTTTATTTCTTAGAAAAGATGACTCTTGTTTGTAAATAAAGTCATGAGTTATAAGTTTGTTAATTTTATCAATGAGATACGGAACAAATTCATCAACAGGCTTGATAATCGTTTCCAAATTACAACGATCAGTATTCAGCCACTGTTGAAACACAACATCTTGTTTGTCATTTGCTTCTAATAGCAAAGTAAGGTCCTCTTCAATATTTCCATTGGAAGCACACTTTTTGCAAGCACGCAAAAAGCAATCAGTTGTTCTAGTAGAAATATAACAAAGCATTTTTTTCTATTATTGCATCTTGTGACATAATTCTTAAACTGTTGATCATTAATTTTACATTTTCAGGAATTGTACAAATACATACATTATGTATACCAGTAGAATCAAGCAAAATGCAATGTTTTGGTCGCAATTGTGTAAATACAGTGAAACCAATATTAATATCTTTATATTTATCAACAAAAATCATGTGCGCTTCTTTGAGGGACGTGTTCTTTTCGTCCATTTCTTAACTCGGAACCAAAATCATTTGTTCCGGGCATAGGTCTACTAATATCATTGTCATCAAAAAATTCCCTAACTAGTTTTTTTGTATCATCGTTGATCCCATGCCCACTTCTTTTGTTGGGTGTGCTTAGAATACCCTGTTCATTAACAAGGGTCTTCACCTGCCTCACCATGTACGTTGGTGCGTTGAATTCTGCTACATCTTTATTCACGGACCAAGACTTTGGCAATACTGATAATACTGTTATCTGATCTTTTCTGTCAGCTGTAGGGGAATTGAACTTCTCCTTTAGCTGCACATTTCTTCGTATGCCTCTACTTTGCTAATGTCTGCTGTATCTAGGCCAAATATATTTTTTCGCACTGCTTGTGTAATTTCTAGAGATTTTATTGAACGATAATCCATGCTCTTCATGTTCCTCGATGAAATTGGAGATACGTTTCCACAAAGCCATTAAACTTCTCAACATTGTATGGGCGTTGCAGATCATCTGCTGATGGAACTGACTCCAATGATGGAACCGATGGTACCGTATCTGAAGGAAAGAAGAAGAAAAAATAATTAATAAGTGCAATTAGGAGGTTGCAGTTAAAAGTTGATAGAATCATCAGGATGACTGTTCTTACCTAGCTCATCTAAGGATTGATGGCCACTCATTGATGGACCTGGATCATCACTATGCTGCTGCCCACTAGTTGACGGTTGGATATTTACTTCATTTCCAACCGATCGGCGTTTTTTCATAACTGGACTTCTATTATGAGATATCACGCTACGGCATGACTCACAAATGCTTATCGTTTCATCAATTTCGTGGTTATATCCCATAGAATGTATTTTTTCTACCATCGTTGATGATATGGCCCGTAGCTTATTTCGGTTGCATCTCGGATTATTTATATTTGCACAACATTTCAATCCTTTGAGCCTTAATTTACTACTTTGGTCCATGATAATAATTTTACTACAACTTGTCTTCACAACTTTCGTTATCAGATTGACTGCTGCTTGTATGAAGTCAACCTTAGGTTTATAGTGCTCATAGGTAGAATGAAGTGGTAGGTATATAATGTTAATGGTTTAGGTATAAATAACAGTTGACTTCCCAAATCGTTGTTGATTCGAAAGAAGATCTCAATTTAAATTTTATTCATACCTAATTCTTTATGGATAATTTGAGCTAAGAATTCTCAGTTTTTTGCCTCAGTAGTAGACAATATAATCAATTATATTATTTTCTAATGATATAAGCCCTTTTCATATAGAATTCTCGATTAATCCAAGTGATTAGTTGCTGATTAGACAAAATTGAATCACAAATGGAGCTTCATTGTGTTCTGAGATAATTTTGAGCTTCACTGGTTTAGTTTTGTGTAAAAATGGTACGTTAAAAAAATCAGTACAGACATGAAAAAGTTTTTGTAAGAAAAACTTTTTTCCTTAAAAGTGTCCATCTTGCGATGTATGGACAGATGGTAGTAAACATAATTACCTATCTTGAGGCAAAGTTTCATCCAAATCAAACATGGCCATTGTTTTAATCGACTTTAAATTTTAAAAATCAATTTTTTTCAGTGTAGGCGTCAAATGAAATTTTTTTCAGTATTTTTTTTTTCGATAATTTAGTCAATTTCCTAAAAGTCATTCAACATATTTTTGTTGAAGTTGTCATTTTTCCATAATATTGTTTTTGAAAAAAATCGGCAGAAAAAGTTTGGCCCTTCTCAAATGTTAGTCTAGATAAATTTTGGAAAAAAAACTGAGTATGCAAAAGCGCTTATTTAGTCAAAGTCTACACATCCAGAAAATTTTATTGAAATCTGAGAGGGTGCTGCCAGCTTCGATTCGATTTGGCGCGAAATGCGTCTTGATGCTGATGCTACTATCACAAAACTGACGAAAACCACTGCGCATGCGTATTTATACTGCACAATTAAACATGCACTAATATAGCAAAAGAAACTATGCTCGAATGGATAATTTAGAACGCTTGGTATACTAAAAATTAAATGTGAGCTGATTTCTGTAGTCCGGTGTTTGTTTGGTCGCCATAGTTTATCCGTCGGTCATAGTACCTTGAAAAATTTTCAAAAATCAACTCCGATCATTGCAATCATATGGGGATATAAAAAAAATAGGGCATCCAAGCTTTGTATCAGCCGTATATTGCAAAAAAAGCACCCCCCCCCCCCCTTGGTTATTTGGGTTGTCCTGATAGATCATGATCATGGGCAGACAGGGTTGCTTCTACTCACTTGCTATAAAACAATGGTTTTCTAAATTATGAGATCATTCGATGATATAATGATATGCTGTACTTGTAAGTAACAAGAAAAGGGTGTAAAGGATGTGTTTGACTCAAAAAACCTGTCAATTTCGCTTTCAGAGCGTCACAATCGGCCATCTTATGATTCGCGAGCGTTCACTCTGAGTGAGCGTTCACGAATCGTTAAATCGCTTATTGTGACGCACTAAAAGCAATATTGACAGGTTTAATTTGTCAAACACATACTTCACGACCTCTTCTTGTAACTTACAAGTACTAATTATCATTATCACATCTAATGTTTTCATAATTCGGAAACACAATTTTTTATAGCAAGTGAGTGGAAGTAACCCTGTGGGCAGATTCACTATTTACAAACCCACATCCAAAATTATCAAACTGGTGATCCTAAATCCGTCTTTCTACACCCGAACGAATCCCATCTCATGACAAAAGTATTTTTAGGAAGTGTTTCATCGGACTAGTTCTCGCTGAAACCAGTCAACGCGTTTCTCAAAAACCATTTTTTGTGAACTCATTCAGAAGTTTTAGTTATTAAACTAGAAAAATCGATCATTTTCCAATTTTAATAGGTCGCCAAAATGTTTGAACATGTCAAATTAAAGCTCTAACTATCCCCTTTACTATGGTGTGTAAACACGAGGGGTTTGCTTGATAATTTTCAGTGATTTAATTACTTTAAAGGATCAATAATTTGCAACAAATTATCACTTTTTCAAACTAATGGCGCACCTTGCTACCGAGGAGTCCATCATATTGAACTCTGCCGATCGATTTTTCTAGTGTTCTAACTAGCACTTCTGAATGAGTACAAAAAATCCATGCAACAAAAATTGAGTGTAGTTCAAAAGTAATGAGCATAGTTTTCATTACATTGATTGATTGCAATACTTTTATCCGTTTCTCAGCACCGGTTGCACGATTAACTGGATCGATTCGACAGCGAAATCGTTGATTCGATGTTATACCCAGGTTTCACTTCATCGAGCTTAGTACATTTGAGGTACGAATTTGCGTAAATCCGAGACACCCAGCTAACGGAAATGGTATAATCAAAACAGTGAACACGAACACGTAAAATAAGCAATATTTCAAATCAAACAAAAACACTTTTTAATCATAACAAAAAAAAATCATGCAATTTATTTGTACACACTGAGATTAGTTGGCAGTGTTTTCCAAGATCCAGGAACGGTGCGACGATACGCGAGCAAACACATCGGGAAAGCCGAGAGCACAGGCAATACCCCACGACACAATACCCTGCTGGCGTCCTTCGTGCGACAACGGACCACCGGAATCACCCATGCACATACCGATGCCTACGGGGCTGGACGTACAGATCGTACTATCATGGACACGGGCAGCGTTCAGAACACTGTGACGGCTACGGCACTCTTCCAGGGAGATAATGTCCACGTTGACCCATTGCATGTGAACTGGAAGGGATCCTGGGTTCTGTGGATTAAAAATAAGCAACTACTGAAACAACTTTTCCACACTAGACGGTTAGAGAGGATCTTACCGAAGTCTGTCCCCAGCCGGAAGCCTGGGCATTCGAAGCGGTAGTTACAAAGTTCTGCTCCAGCGCAATCGGGGCGACGTTACTGTTGAACAAGAATGGAGTGGCAACACGAACGACCGACACATCGTTGGCCAACGTAATCCCGCTGTACTGCGGGTGGTTGATGATTTGGCTGGATGGATGACGTTCGCCACCGGCGTTCAACAACAGTGCACCGACGAAAACGATCGTATTGGCCGTGGTTCTTCCACTGGTACAATGGGCAGCGGACAGGACCCAGTTGTTGTTGACGATGGAACCACCGCAGAAGTGAGCATTGGCCGCCGAACGCAGCGATACCTGGTACGGGAACTGACCCTCGGCAGCGTTCGAACCGCCAACGATGCGACCTTCCCATTCGGAGTACAGATCCGGAAGGACACCCCCAAGGGCTACACCGACCAAACCAAACAGAAACACAGCCAAACTCAAGCGAGACATTATGGAATAATGATTAGGTCACAAGGTGAGGGAGGTACTTTTATAAGCGGGATTGTGTTATCAGAGCTGGATTGTTTTGTCCTACGTCGGTAATTGATTAAGACGATGCCGATGATGATTGTTCAGTTTTTCAGGACGGATTAACGAGCGATAACGGTATAAGCGTTTGGTAGATTAGGGCGTAAACTTTGGGATTTATTTTTGATTGTACCCTGCACAGCATTGTCTAGCGCGTCTTAAGGCATGTCAATGCTAGTGCGAATTTATGACGTCCTTCTGTCGTACACAGTGGGAAATTCACGGAGCACGTAGATAAGAGAATTCCTTCCGCATTATATCAGAAACTGAGGTAAAAATCAACTACATATTTACAGATAAAAGATAATTGGACAAAGACTCAATTTTAGGATTATGTTGGCCACATTACGGTTTTCATTTTACTTCATTCCACGCAATACCATCTGTTTGGAGAAAAAAAGCTAATTCAAAATAAATTAAGAATAATTCAATTCTACCAAGAAACACGCCTTGACAGCCATCACCGACAGAGCAGTGAATGTAACATTCCGTTGTAACTAAGAAGCGTGTGTAGAAGGGGAGTTGGCAACACTGAAAGAAACTTTTCACCACCGTCGGTTGATACTGCGAGCTGTCGCGGTAACTTATAAATAGCTTCGATTCATGCTCCGGTTCAATAACCCCTTCTATTTCACATCTCCTGTGCACGCTAGTGGCTGCCTGCTTCTGTCACATTACTCTTTCGAGACATTTCGCTCGTTGGTGGAATGGAAATATGCTGCTCTTATTATTTTTTTTGCTCTCACACTTTGGGCTCCTGGCTGATGGATTAAGTCCACAAACCGAGCTACTGTTTAAGGGAAAATTGAGTTAGCTCTATTCCAACGAGAAAGATAGCATGTAGAGCAAGCTCTTTCTAAATTTCAAGTCAAATAAAGCACTTTGTTTGGGATTGTTGAAACATTTTACCAAGCAGTGGAAAGCGGATAATGGGGACTGCAGTTGAAATTTGGTCTGTTCTTAGTAAATTATCGCGAGGGATTGTAACTTGCACTTAACAACTGGTCGCAGAACTAACGCAAACGAAAGTTGGTGGAGATAATCTTGTTTGATAAAAGCTTACAGTTAGTGGAATGAAATGCTGTTCTGAGTAAAAGTTAGCAAATGTGTATTTAACTTGCGATTAGGCACGGCCATAAGATTTCAATTAGCACAGCTGCATCCCAAGAAAAGTCCAATCTTTATTTATATTCCTAGGAATCTAACAACGACTCACCACAACTGAAACGAATTTCTGAAAACTTACTCAAAAAGCACATGCAATACCACATTTAATATAAAACCTACATACTATACAAATAATGCAATTCGATGAAAATCAGCTACGCGATTCACAACCAAGGAAATAGGAAACGGATGAATAGCATCATCTTGTTATTAAACCTACCATTTAAAACGGCAACGTCATGGTGCATGTTTTGCTCGCGTAAACCAACCAACGAGCACAGCTGCTGATTCATGATGTGAGCTTCAGCTGAAATGCTTCCTATTTCATTGAATTGAGATGCTTCTCGGAATTGGAAAAGCAAATTCACCTCTGAACCACGGGCGCCGGAGTCAAAAAAGCATACGCTTCTAATATCACGCAGAAAAATGGAAACCCTGCTTGGGGAATGGAGGTAATTCTAGCGAAGCAACCGTGAATCGGGATGTAATGCATTTGAAATTGTGATGACGAACATGAGAGCGATCAATACATCTAGAATTTATGTTAATTTTGGTTGGATATGCAATGCTTCCGGTGAAGGGAATCGCTTGAGTTCAGACAACTTGTTCATGCTTTTTTTTATTATTTTTTTAATTATTTATTTCTTATTCTCTGGTAGCAGCGCCGGTGGTGTAGTGGTAAGCGTGATTGCTTCTCACCACAAAGGGCCTGAGTTCAATTCCAGTCGGTGCCGCCGGGATTTTCTGAGGCATAACATTTCTGCTCACGCTTTCCTTCGGAAGTGAAGTAAAATTGTTGATCCCCGGTCCATGAGGTGATGGATCGATAGATAGGGTCCAGGCAGGTGAGGAAGCGTCGGTAGCATTAGCACTCACTCAGTACGGAAAACAAGATCGACGGAAAACAACAATTTACTGATTGAAAGCAAGTGCATATGTCGAACCGTATCGTCACCTATCCAGCAGACTACGTTGAATCCGGTGACGAAAGGATTCCGCTGTGCAGTTGAAATCGAAAAAAAGCATAGAATTCATTGAAACGTGCAAACATGAACCATATTGGATCATGTAATCCACAATTAGCTGCTCGGGGGCCATGATTCAGGAAACTCCTGGATCGTAGAACGGAGCTGACGCATAGATTTCGAATTCAGCCAAAATCCTGGGATAGTAGATTTCGCCTAGATACCTAGCCCAATTGAATTCGTCGCACAAATCATAAACAAATACCCGCTCGATTGTTATCGTATGATTTGCCCCAGCCAGTACGATGTGAGTTCAATTCGCCCAGTATTAGAACTGGAGATGAGAGAATAGTAACTGCACTCCAAGCTGACGGCGGTTTAGGGAAATCCTTGGAGGGACATATTCAGAAGCTATGCAAAGATCTTTGTTCTTCACATTTATTTGGCAAGTGACTATTTCTTTGCCTGAAATTGTTGGGATTGAGATCTTATAGAAGGGTTAGCACTTTTTGATCCCAAAAAGTATGCCACCATATGAATCATCTCGGTCCAGGCGGATATTGTTAAAATCGTGGCAGTTTACTTCATCTTCAGAAGAAATTCATGTTTCTCAGAGTGAAAATATACCACAATCAGAATTGTGAATCAAATACTTGAATAATTCTTTCGATAGTGGACATGTTGGCTTCGGCAATACCTTAAACAAAGTCCTAGAGCACTCAAATTTGGCCAATAGATGCTTTGAAACACAATGTATCCACATGCCAAAATTGAGCTCTCAAGGATGTTGTTTACCCCATTTTTGTATACAGGGGGGAATCTGCTAACAGACACCTGAGAAGGAGCTCAGGGTGTGGGGAAGGGAGAATTTCACTCCCATGTGCGCTTGGCCCTTGACCTCCCCGGAACCGTCCGAAGGCATTACTTCGTGGAAGGGCTGCTATAACGCTATGGCGCTTCTCTAGCAATACACTATCGATCTAGTCGGGCAGTAGGCCACTGTTGCTCGGCACGCCACTGTCGTTGTAGTTCCGAAACTATGTGAGTGACCGCAGTCACCACCGCGCTCCAGTTCTCGGTGGTACCACACATCCTAGGAACGATGTTATCCGGACTGGTATCCGCTCCGCATATCGCTAGCATAACACTCGATGCTGGCTCGAAGCGTGGACAGGCGAACACAACGTGTTTGGCGGTCTTTTCGACGACAGCACACGTGGGGCAGGTGGGAGTACTTGCATGTCCGAACCTTTACAAGTAGCTCCTAAAGCAGCCATGGCCTGATAGGAACTGTGTCAGGTGGAAGTTTACTTCCCCGTAGCGCCTGTTGACCCAGATTGATACGGAAGGTATCAAGCGGTAAGTCCACCTCCCCTTTGTGGAGTTTTCCCACTCCGACTGCCATCTCGCAGTCGACACCGCTCGCGCGTTGTTGCGCACGCCTCGAACGGTCTTCGCGTCATAGCACACCACGTCCTCCTTAATGATGAGGCCGATTGGCATCATCCCTGCTATGACGCAGACGACCTCCCTCAAGATGGTGCGGTATGCACTGGCCACCCTCAAGCACATTAGCCTGTGTGTACTCTCTAATTTCCGCCTGTGACAGTCAATATCCAGTACCGCAGACCACGCAGGGCCGCCGTATCTGAGGATAGATACTACGACCCCAGCGAGGAGCCTGCGCTTACTGGCATTCACTGCCGAGCTGTTTGACATCATGCGGGATAATGCCCCCAAAGCCATAGACGCTCTCTTGCAGGCGTACTCGACGTGGCAGCCGAAGCTGAGCTTATCATCGAGCATAACCCCCAGGAGTTTCAAAGAGCGCACAGACCTAATTGTGCTTTCGCCGACTGTCAACGTCGCATGCTGCACCGACATGCGATTGTTGACTACGACCACTTCCGTCTTGTGATGGGCAAGCTCCAATTTCCAGGATCTCATCCATTCCTCCACAAGCTTGACGCAGTGGGCCGCTGTCAGCTCTACCTCCTCGAGGGATTCCCCGTAGACTACCAGCGTGACATCGTCGGCAAAACCTACAATTTTCACGCCTACAATCCTCAACAATCCATCGTACATGACGTTCCATAACACCGGGCCCAGGATGGAGCCTTGTGGCACTCCTGCGGTGACTCTTAAGCAATTTTTCGCCATCTTCTGTGTCGTACGTCAACACACGATTCTGGAAGAAGCTTTCCAGAATCTTGTACAACCCTCCGGGAATTTGGAGCTGGTGTAGCGAACGGGCTATCGCCCTCCAGCATGCGCTGTTGAACGCGTTCTTAACATCTAAGGTTACCACCGCGCAGTAACGAATGCCCCTTCGTTTCCGGTGGACCACCTCTGCCGTCTGGATGACGTCGCGGATGGCTTCCACCGTGGATCTGCCCTTACAGAACCCGTACTGGCTGCTTGACAGGCCGTCTACATCTTCAGTGTAAGCCGACAACCTGTTGAGGATGACCCTCTCAAGCAGTTTACCAGTGGTGTCCAGCAAACAAATGGGCCTGTATGCTGACGGGTCCCCAGGGAGTTTTCCTGGCTTCGGGAGCAGCACCAGCCTCTACCACTTCCACGCATCTGGGAAGATGTCTACGTCCAGACAGGTCTGAAAAACAGAACGAAACATGTCTGGATTTTCGGCAACGACTGCCCTCAGAACCACAACCGGGATCCCATCTGGGCCCGGGGCCTTGCCACCCACCAGCGACTTGGCAATATCGCCAAGTTCTCTGTTCGTCACTCTAGACACTTCTCCCTGATCCACGACTGGGATCCGCGGCCAGGAGTCTACGTCCTACGTGGAAACAAGAACCCA